AGCACAGCAAACCATGGTGGCGACTAGGAGGCAGCACAGCAAACCATGGTGGAGACTAGGAGGCAGCACAGCACACCATGGTGGAGACTAGGAGGCAGCACAGCAAACCATGGTGGAGACTAGGAGGCAGCACAGCAAACCATGGTGGCGACTAGGAGGCAGCACAGCACACCATGGTGGAGACTAGGAGGCAGCACAGCAAACCATGGTGGAGACTAGGAGGCAGCACAGCAAACCATGGTGGCGACTAGGAGCACAGCAACCATGGTGGCGACTAGGAGGCAGCACAGCAAACCATGGTGGTGACTAGGAGGCAGCACAGCAAACCATGGTGGCGACTAGGAGGCAGCACAGCACACCATGGTGGAGACTAGGAGGCAGCACAGCAAACCATTGGTGGCGACTAGGACGGCAGCACAGCACACCATGGTGGGAGACTAAGAGGCCAGCACAGCAAACCATGGTGGAGACTAGGAGGCAAGCACAGGCAAACCATGGTGGAGACTAGGAGTGAGGCCGGCAGAGCACAGCCAAACCATGGTGGAGACTAGGAGGCAGCACAGCAAACCATGGTGGCGACTAGGAGGCAGCACAGCACACCATGGTGGCGACTAGGAGGCAGCACAGCACACCATGGTGGCGACTAGGAGGCAGCACAGCAAACCATGGTGGAGACTAGGAGGCAGCACAGCAAACCATGGTGGCGACTAGGAGGCAGCACAGCAAACCATGGTGGAGGACTAGGAGGCAGCACAGCAAACCATGGTGGAGACTAGGAGGCAGCACAGCAAACCATGGTGGAGACTAGGAGGCAGCACAGCAAACCATGGTGGAGACTAGGAGGCAGCACAGCACACCATGGTGGCGACTGGGAGGCAGCACAGCACACCATGGTGGCGACTGGGAGGCAGCACAGCAAACCATGTGGGACTAGGAGGCAGCACAGCAAACCATGGTGGAGACTAGGAGGCAGCACAGCACACCATGGTGGCGACTGGGAGGCAGCACAGCACACCATGGTGGCGACTGGGAGGCAGCACAGCAAACCATGGTGGCGACTGGGAGGCAGCACAGCACACCATGGTGGAGACTAGGAGGCAGCACAGCAAACCATGGTGGCGACTAGGAGGCAGCACAGCAAACCAGGACAACACGGAGGAAAAGGCACAGACAAACTGCATGATATGCTATTCAATGTTTATTGAATTCCATGTATTGCAATGGATGTTCCTAAAACAACACATTTAACATCATCATCATCATCATGCTGCTGCTGTGCTAGTCCTTTGATAGTCACCTGTCGGTCTCCTGTCCTTTCTGAAAGCCATAAAGATGACATTAGTCATTTAGATAACTTGTGTCCTCAGTTACCATGGTTACTGAAACTACCATGAATTTAAGAAAATGGTAGACATTAATCTAATCTGAATTTTAAAGCATTACTTTAGATCCCCTCCCTCTAAATATATCAATACACATTAGAAAGTGATGCTCCTGACTACCATACAGGTTTAAGAAGATAATATTGGTTTTAAAGAATTCAAAGCTATAAATAAACAGCAACAGGCTCTTTAACCAAGGCACTGTTAGCCTAACATGTAAACTAGTTGTTCACACTAATCCTAATATTATCACTTAATATTAGCAAATTCTATTTTATTATTTAAAACATATTGATGTAAATACATACACATATCGATTTGTTGTATAAATATTGCAAATCAAAACCTTTATTCACTAATAATTACCAAAAATCGTAGTTCTATCTCCTGTTATCAATGCATTCACATTGCCCTCCATGAACTTCCGGGGAACGATCCTTGTCTACATGAACCACGTGACGATAACCGTTTTTGGACTTCCGTTGTCGTAACTCTTCTATTGGCTCTGGACCAACTGACAAACCGCCACGTCACACGCGCACACACACACACACACACACTGTGGTTTTTATTAATGTGCATTTTGGTACATCAACTAATACAAAATGAATGCAAATTACTGTGACTAAATATGTAAACAGTGTTTTCATAGGAATATATATTTAAAATCACAAATCATAGAAAGACGTAAGCTGCATGTGCAAGCACTGACGTAGACCAACTGACAAACCGCCACACACACACTCACTCACAGACACACATCAACACACACACACACTCACACTGTGATTTGTATTCATGAGCATTATCTATGGTACATAAACTTATACAAAATAATTCAAACTAAATATTTAAAAAGTGTTTTGATAGGAAGACCTTATGCTTAGTGTCACCTTAACAAGTATTAAATGTAATAGATACATTTGTCAGTTTAAAATGGGAGTGATTAGTAAAATATGCATTAATCAAAAGAAAATATGACCATATTCTAATAATGTTTTGATTGTTAAGATATGTATCTATCCATAGATTTAGTCCCTTAATTTTGCCCTCAAAGATTGATGCATTTAACCCTCCCTAGAGGATGTGTGGTCCACCCCCCACTTAAGACAAGTTCACATGGGTAGGATACTAAATACACGTGCCACTTTTTATATAGTAACCTATGTCCATATGTTCCTGTTGGGCAGGTCCGCCCCGATCACGCAGACTGTATGGGGCCTCACCTCGTGGAGGGGGCCTCAGCTTGATCACTATCAGTAATAATACGGATGTGTGCTATTTTTCCTTTTTTAGCAAAAGGAAGTCCCTCAACAAATGGCCTTTTCCTCAGCAGGCTGTACCTGGTATTGCACCCTTTTGCTTGCAAAGTACTTCACCTGAATTAGTTTTCTTTATAAAGGCCCAAGTGGCTGCTTGGTCACCTTTTCGCAAACTCCCCTCTGTAAACAATGTTATCTGTGGAGTAGCGGTTTTCTGTAAGGGTTTCAATGTTTCCCTTTTGTGGCTTACCTCCTGAGGTCCTCTGCACCCCACATCTGGATCAGACATTATCATGGGGCCTCAGGGGGCCTCAGCTTGCGGAGGGTGCTTCATTTTGCGGAGGGAGCCTCATCTGAAGCGTAAATGTGGCACACCTACAGTGTCAGCACGCCACAGTTTCACCGCTGCGAGGCTACACTAGCACCCCCCCCCCCCGTCGACGCTCGCGACTCAGAGGGCCTCATCATATAACTTTGGGTGGGGCCACAAGTTGGTCCCTGCTGTTGGGGTAGTAGATTGATATGGATTTATAATGCATTATTTATATTTTATATTGTGTATTCTGTGGATACTCTATTAATATATGAATATATATATCGTCAAATGTACAATTGTTGGGCTAAGACCCCATGTTACAACGCGAGTAGGTGCATAGCACTACACCCCTGCACACACACACACACACCACACCATGGCCTTACTGAGCTTTGTTCAGAAGTCAGACAATAATAAAAGAAGCTGCTGTCTTTCAGTAGACCACAACAGTCTACTTGTTTTTATTTATTTAAATCATATATACGGTTACAAATCATTAAAAAGGATAACAATGATTAAATGATACATCTGAACTAAACTGCCAGTATTCAAGTCTCAAAATAAAAGCAATCAGTGATGAATATCTAAAAAGGTATGAATGCAAACAACCTGAAAGCAAATCCTATAAAAACAGCAGGCTTGTCTTTTGAATCTATTACTGACACCTTTCTTATTTACAATATGTTAGGTTGTGATTCTAAAAGATAACTAAGCTTCAGGCTCATTATCCTCACACATGGATAAAAAACACAATCATCAGCGTTTTATGCAAAAAGTATTAAATGGTAAAGTAAAACATGCATAACCTAAATGGCAATAATCACTTCTCAAAATAGAGGCTTTTCTTGTTCTACCGTCCAGGAGAAAGCTGCGTCTCTTTTATATATGATGAGTGGGATTTGGAAAAAACTAAGCTGCAGGTTAAATATCATCATAACATCAGAAAAGTACGCACAAATGATTACACGTTGTCTTTTACACCAACATGAACGTTATGAGTTGCGTCAGTAAAAAGCCTCTGAGGACCACAGCTGCTCAGTCTCTCAACAGGACTGCTAATTAAAACATTCAAACGCTTGGTTGTCTTATGCAACCACTACAGCTTAATGTTGGTCACACAAATCTTAAGGCTCCTCCAAAAAGGCAACACAATATACTTCACATAGAAGTCTAGTTGTCCGATCATAGAGTCCTGTAGTGAACCCGGAAATGTACCCCAAGTTTTATGATAGAAATGTATACATGTAGTAGGGTTCCCAAACATATAGAAACGGCTGGATGCTAACTCACATATGTTGGACGATTTGCATACTTCCCGTTAGCATTATTACAATGAAGCCTATAATGGAGAATAGTTAAAAAAAATGACTTGGCCGATTTGGACAATTTTGGAGTGGTCTTGTTTTTATTTGAGAATGCTGAATCCATTTCTGACATTTTCAGGATCAATTATGGCAGTTATAACCAAAGAAAGGGCAATATGTGTACTCTTGGTGGGCTGAAGGTTTAGGTGACTCTCGATCATTTGGATTGGACAGATTGCTTATTTATTTGAAAATAATCGTCCACAATAGAGGTTATAATGTTCATCTTGTGCCCTCTATACCCAATGGTTGCAACACTACTCATAGTAGTCAGAGTTAGAAAGTCCCTATAGGAGGGAGGGAGCTGTTGTACCTGACATTCCACAGCAGGGGGGGTTCCTCACTCACTTTAAAACCAGAGCAACAATTGAGGGTCTGTGTTTGTCTGGAGTTCCACGAATGTGCAATCATCGATCCACGATCCATGTTACGCTGTTTTCTCAGTTCAACTCCATTTGGCTGTCTTTGTGTTCCTTTACGGACAAATGATCTTCATATTGGGATTGTCTTTTGACTCTAACCGTTACCCACTTCAAAGTGGAATTTCCCTTTGAAGACATGATATCAACATCCCACTTTGTAGGTTGATCAACAGTGGGAGCTTGTTTTCCACACCCCTGTCTTCTGCCTGAAGTTCTCCACTGCTGCTTTGCCGAATTCTGCTGTTTTACAATACCAGCAGCGCAGCAGTGACTTGAATTGTTTATGTTCATCCATTTGCTTTTCATCTCTTTCAGTTTCATGAGCTTCTGGGTGTCTCCCTTCTCGTTCATCATGTCGATCAGGAAGTCCAGGTGCACCTGAGTGGCCAGGGAAACAACCTTCATGGCGATCTCATCCAGTCTGACAACATGTCGGAAAGACTCTTCCAAAAACGGATCTTTTTCTTTCTGCAGGTCTTCTATGGTCTCCTGGAGGGTTTCCAAGAGACTCGCTGACTTCTCACTGTCTTTTCTACCCTTATCATACATGGCTTTCATCTCTCGTTCGGTCCTAGTAACTTTCCTGGTCTTGCTCACATATATCCAGTGTGTTTTCGGATGCTTTGGATCACTGCATTTATCCTCACATTCAGTGCATTGTTCTGTTTTCACGTGTTTGGATTCATGACACGTTCATTCCTGTTTGTAATATACATGGATCGGATTTCGAGGCGTAGTCCTGGGGGAGGGGGTCTGCAGTTCGGTGGACTAAGGATTGCACCACTGCTTTTTGCAGATGATGTGGTTCTAATGGCTTCATCGGTCTGCGACCTTCAGCACTCACTGGATCGGTTCGCAACCGAGTGTGAAGCGGCTGGGATGAGGATCAGCACCTCCAAATCTGAGGCCATGGTTCTCAGCAGGAAACCGATGGACTGTCCACTTCAAGTAGGGAATGAGTCCTTACCCCAAGTGAAGGAGTTCAAGTATCTCGGGGTCTTGTTCTCGAGTGAGGGAACAATGGAGCGTGAGATGGGCCGGAGAATCGGAGCAGCGGGAGCGGTACTGCAGTCGCTTTACCGCACCGTTGTGACGAAAAGGGAGCTGAGCCAGAAGGCAAAGCTCTCTGTCTACCGGGCCATTTTCGTTCCTACCCTCACCTATGGTCATGAAGGATGGGTCATGACCGAAAGAACGAGATCGCGGATACAAGCGGCCGAGATGGGTTTTCTCCGCAGGGTGGCTGGTGTCTCCCTTAGGGATAAGGTGAGAAGTTCGGTCATCAGGGAGGGACTCGGAGTTGAGCCGCTCCTCCTTCGCGTCGAAAGGAGCCAGTTGAGGTGGTTCGGGCACCTAGTTAGGATGCCACCTGGGCGCCTCCCTAGGGAGGTGTTCCAGGCACGTCCAGCTGGGAAGAGACCAAGGGGTAGACCTAGGACCAGGTGGAGGGATTATATCTCTTCGCTGGCCTGGGAGCGCCTTGGGATCCCCCAGTCAGAGCTGGTTGATGTCGCCAGGGAAAATAAAGTTTGGGGCTCTCTGCTGGAACTGCTACCCCCGCGACCCGACCACGGATAAGCGGAAGAAGATGGATGGATGGATGGATGGATTCATGACATTTCCAAGTACACACCGTGCAGTAGAGCTCATTCCTATGACCTGATACACTACATGTTTTGTGGCATATTGTGCATTTGTATTGCATGACCTCACAGTGACTTGGATACAGGGCCAGTGTGCATGGATAGTGACAGTTCTCCTTACAGACTTCACAGCAGACAGCTCCTCCATAGTTGAACCCTAACGCCCACCATTGTTTCTCATCGACAGGTTATTTACATTTATAGACTTCATCAACTTCTACCTTGAAGTCCTTGTTATTCTTCATGTCTTGTTCGTGTTTCTTCAGAGCTTCCTGAGTCTGTTGGATCTCTCTCTGTTTCAGTTCAATGAACTCAATCCTCTCCTGCAGGTTGTGGATGCAGGCTGTCAGGCTGATGCGTGAATTCAAAACTTCAACGGTTGTTTCCAATTTCTGTGATTTGGTGTCTTTTAGGAAATCAACAAATTGACCAATCTGTTCGTCTGTTGATTCCCATGCATACTTTAGAGCAGTGGTTCCCAAACTTGTTGTGCCCAAGGCACACCAAAGGACAAGTACAAATCTCAAGGCACACCTATTGTGCAAAATAGCCCTTATAACACGTGTTATCACTCATATCATGTAAAATATCTGTAAATGTACATAATTATTTACTAATGCCAAATAAAATGTGACAAAGACAACTATATTACTCATGAAATATTTATTAACGAAATATTTCAGAAATTAATTTGAAACTTTATCAAATTAGGCTTCATCAAAGCAGCAACACACTCATTTAAACCAGACAGGTCACAACATTACAAATGAGGCAAAGGAAACTCAGCAGAAATTCAGCACAGAGAACTGTCAATGCAAGGAAGCTGCACTGCATGGTCCTGAACTACAAATTATAAATGTAACATTTCAGCAATCAGCATTGAAACATGTGCTATTGTAAATATTTTGCCGACTTACAAATTAGTGAGATACATGTGCCTGTCGGGGCGCTGAGGAGAGGGCCACTCGCAAGTCCTGTTCAACAGAGAGCCGTGACCTCCTGTTGTTCTTCATGTAAATCAGAGTAGAGAACGCCAACTCCAGAGATGGGGTCGTTACTAAAAAAATGTAATATATTAAACTACTTTGTTACTATCTACATAAAGTAACTCGTTACTTTACTCGCCGAGCACGTACGAACTGCGCGTGAGTGGCAATAACTTTCCTTACCAGCAGGCGGCGGTAGTGTGTATTTGTCATTCAAAACAGGCAACAACCGGAAGACAGAGAAGAAGAACAGACTGCGTGATATAAACAAACAACAAATAGCTGTGTGGTAGCTTCACCTTAGCATGTGTTCTTTGCAGGTGTGTGTTGAGGTTTGACCACGTGGTGTTTCCAGCAGTGGATAACAGCTTCTGGCCTGGACACAGTTTGCACCTCACCGTCACATTCCTGTCTATTCTTCGGACGAACTCAAAGTAATGGGCATACCTCCACCCCTCGAGAGTTATCGCTGACTCAGCCATGTTTATGCAGCACTGCACGTGGAGATGTGGACGCGCAAGTCGCACAGATTACTACGTACATATAAACCTACAAAGTACTGATATAGTAAATTAAAAAATAAATAATTATTTTTGTGTAGTTGTATATTTCAATAATAACGTATGGTTGTCACAAAATCCCACGGCACACCCGGACTTGGCACACCGTTTGGGAACCACTGCTTTAGAGCACGCTCTTTTCCCTTAATTCTCTCTGTTTTCTGGATGTTATTAAACATGAAATGAACAGGCCGATCCTTCTCGTCTTTCGCACACATCATTTTTGCCTCTTTCAGAGCTTGTAGAACATTTGCAGCTGACACAAAATCTGAGTGTTTGAGGACGATGTTCTCCTCTATGTCTTTTCCCAACAGAGACACCACTGAATCAAAGACGTACATCAGTCGGTCACTCAGTCGATTGTCACTCGCTTTCAGCACCAGACACACTGCATCAATCTCATCAACTCCATCTGTTGAGCGGAACAAGTCCAACAATCTTTCGCTGACGAGGACATCTTTGTCCTTCCCTTTGGTGTCACCAAACCCGGGGGAATCGATGATGGTCAGAGAGAAGGGCAGAGATTTATCTTCAAGACCAAAGACCTCGTACACGATCACGTCTGACTTTCTGTTTGACTTTTCCTTTGGTATCTGTGCAATTAAAGTTTCCAAAAGATGCTGCGTTCAGAGTCTTTTGGACTTCTGATTACTTCCCTGGGAAAAATGTCTCCTTTCTGGTTTTTCCTCACTGGTTCAAGTCCTGATCGGACCAGATAGAGTGGGAACAGGAAGGGGCCAGTTCACCATGTGGGTTAAAGAAGTACCAGCACATAGAAACTTCTGGATGCTAACCTGCACATGATCGGGATTTTGCACAATTAGCACAAGTTGTGTTAAATACCATTAATGGCATTTTAGCCAAATGAAATCGCTTGGTCATTGAGGACGCTGAGGGTTGCAGTTTTACCCAGAAAGTGGCTATACTGTATCTACTCTCTGGTGGCTGATTGTGATGCATTTTGGGTTGATTTGGAAGTTTTAAGGGACTCTTGATCATTTGGATTTGACAGATTTCTTATTTATTTGAAAATAAATTGTCCACAGTTGAGGTAATAATGATAATCTTGTGTTCTCTGTATCCAATCTCTACTCATGGTAATCTAAACCAGCCCACAGAGAGTACAAATATTAGCATTTTCTGGTTAAAACTGCCTTTACGCATCCTGAAAATGTCAGAAATGGATTCAGCATCTTCAATAACCTCCAAAACCATTCCTCAACTGCTCATATAGACCAAACCATTTTTTACTATTGTCCACTGTAAGCTTTAGTGCTAATTAATGCAACTTATGCTAATTGTGCAAATCGCCCAATTTATGCAGGTTAGCATCCGGCAGTTTCTATGTGCTGCAGACACGTACTGTAGATTTATATCATACCACTTTGCTGGCAACCAGACTAAAGCTGCACGAGCTGAGTGCAGCAGGGCGTCCTACCTCAGCCACGAAGCACAGAGAGAGGTCGATCTCATTATAAAGAGCATTTTAATCTGAGCGCTCTTTACGGCCCTGGACTGATTTGATGATTTGATTCGTCCTGCATTATCGGAAGCAGAGATTGTTTTATGGATGTTTTGGGAAAGCCAGATCTGGGTCGTACCAATACACGGTTTTGGAGGGGGGGGCGTTAAAGGCTTGAGAGCAGAGGCAAGAAGACGAGAACTGAACCACAGCCATATATCGAATCATAAATCAGTATTAACCGTAAGCCATAGATGAGATAACCGAAGCAGGGAGTCATTTAGTAAAGTTTCATTCACTTCACATTCACTTTTTTTAAGGACTACCCCAACACGCTAGAATCAGAACCAGAACAGGTTGATCTAAATTAAAATAAAAACGTGTTCATTAGTGGGTGTTTTTTAAATTAGGGCCATGTGTTAATGTTTTTTTTAACTTGAATAATTAGTAAACATTAAGTAAAATTACAACCTAAAAAAGATACAATAAAACATCCAAATAAAATATTATTGTGTTCATTAGTGGGTTTTTACACTGAATTTCCTTCATTTCATCAGAATTAACGCATTCATTCGCCAACCTTATAATTGTACTGAATATATAACTATAGTAATATATCGTTTAATGTAAAAAATAAGTAAATAGGGGTTTGTGTTATTTTTTAAATGTATTTTAATAATTCATATCATAACCCTAACCTTAATAAAATATATATATAGAATAAAACATCTAAATAAAAGGCCTATTATGTGTTCGTTAGTGGGTTTTGACGCTTTATTTCCTTCTTTTAATCAGAATTAACACATTAATTTGACAACCTTATAAGTGTACTGAATATATAACTATAGTAATATATATTTAATGTATAAAACAAATATTAAATAGTATCATAATATCATAACCCTAACCTTTATAAAATATCTATATATAGCATACAACTCTTAAATATAAGGCCTTTTATGTGTTCATTTATTACTTTCATATTAATGTATCAAAATTAACTTGTTGACAACCCTTTAATTTATATAAATGTATGAATTGCCAAATAATATATATTATACATCAAATATAATTGAAATAATAGGCTTATTATGTTTGAGTATAATTGAGTGTTCTGTCTTACAGGTTACGTTACATATTGGACACTGAATGAATGACAGACATCAGGACGTGTTAAGCTTTTATTTAGCATCACATTAGTAACAGTCAGGAATAAAACATGAACATTTACCAATAAATAAGATGTGTTATTATGTTCAGGTTATTTAGCAGCAGCTGTGAGATCTGCTCCAGAGTCTTCCTCTTCAGTCTTTATTACAAATACAGAAATAAGAACATTTTTCAGTCAAAGAAAGTTTTATTTAAGCCCATTTCCACCAATTTAGAGAGAAAGAGATCCTTATCGTGACAAACCTTCTCCAGATGATGAATTGATATCTGAACATATGGTTTTAATACACATTCAAGTCAATATTTGGACATTTTAGTGGTTATTTTGACAGTTTTTAGAAAATAAGTCATTCTTTTTTCAGTATTTGGAGAATGTTTTGAGAACGGGATCTTCTCGAGAAATGGCCTCCCGCTATTCTGTTTCTGTAATACACACTGACATTAAATCCCTTTCTGAACACAAGACAAAAAAACATGAAATAAAACTAAATAAACACTCCGGCTGTTATCAAGACAACACAAACAATACATCCGACAGCCTTAAGGTGCAGTGAATCCGCATTAGAGCCTCTTTAAGACGAGTTTCTACGTGAAATATATTGAATAAAAGCTAAAAGAGGAATTCAAACCCTCTTTATTGTTGGCATACACACTCAGTAGCACACACACCATGGGACCCTCTGGACTTAAAGGTCCCCTGTTATCCTGTTCTTCATCAATACATCACAGGTGTCAGATATATCCAGAGCCTGTCTCTGATTGGCTGAAACACCAAACAGATCATTGCAGCATTACCCATAATCCCCTCTGTTTCAGCCCAGTTTCCAAAGTGCTGATTCTCTGTCTGTTACTTTAGATGAAAATATTGAGCCCCTCCCCACGCCCCTCTGAGAGACATTTGGTTACAAAGAACTCAATGGAGCTCTAGGAGGAGATTCAGGTGATAAGGGGGGGGGGGGGGGGGTTACCCTGGTTGCTGATTGGCTAATGGCTACACATCAGAGTCTCTTTGGACAGAGGGTACACGTGTTGATGTAGAAGAGACATGGAGAAGAGGATGTTGCATGATAGGAGACCTTTAACTCATCCTAGTACTAGGAGCAGTGGGCAGCCATTGTACAGTGTGTTGCGGTTGGGGGGGGGGGGGCGTTCGTGAACCGGTGACCCTCCGGTTCAAGTCCCAACAGACTGAGTGCTGATCTAATCAGACAGAAGTGGTTCTTACTGACCTCAGGTACTCATATTTTAAATAACATTAACAACAAACAGCTGTGAGGAGTTTCAGTAACTGTATTCAAAAGACAGGATAAAGGAATAGTTTTGAGTTAATATGCTTTCATGGAGTCAGGACGTGTTAGCCTAGCTTAGCATAAAGACTGGAAGTAAAGGGAAACAGCTAGCATGTCACGTTCATGTCATGTATGGTTACTTAGTACATAAACTGGAATGTAACAAGGTGTGCCCAGCCTGCTCTGATTGGTCAGCTCTGTTGTGATTGGTCAACCGCTTAGACATGTCCCGCCCATTAACCTCATGTAAAATGTGTTGGAGAGATAGCCAATAGGAGCGTGAGTGTTACATAGTGATGTCACTGTGTTCAGGAGGTAAACAAAGGAGTCCAATCAGGGGGGGGGGGGGGGGGGGGGGGAGAAACACAGGGATTTTAGCCTCTGCAGACCATTGACATGCACTGAAACCTACAGAACTACAGGACGCACCTTAAAGCAGAACAGGGCCTCGTTAAGATCAGAAGCACTTTATTGATCCCAGTTTGGGGATTTCTTTGCGTTGAAAGTCCGATTCATAAAATATTTAGTGAGGATATTGTCTTCCTTCATTTTCTTCCACAAGCCTCTTCAGACGCCTCGCAATGCAGACATTTCAAACACCAACTTGACGGTGAATCAGATCAAATAGTGGTTTCCGATCACAC